ACATCTTCCCCCAATCCATAACCTCTGGCAACCACTGATCTATTTCTCATCACTACAGTTTTGTCTTTTTGAGAATTCCCTTTCCTTTTGCAATAATCTTTGGTTCCTTTTTTTTTTTTTTAATGGGGATCCCTGGATGTTTCTTTGTGTGTGCAAAGAACTCCAGTGCCAGCCAACTTTCTCTTCTATTGTTACTCTTTTGTTATTTACTGTTGCTAACGTTTATTAGCTTCTGTTATATGCCAGGCACTTGTGCTAAGCTCTTTATATATATTATCTCATTTTAATCTCACAATAGCTGTATGATATATGTAAGCCTTTATTATTTCCATTATACAAATCTAGAAACTGAGGATCAGAGAGGTTAAGTGACTTGCCTAAGGCCTCACAGCTAACAAACAGTTGAATCCCGGCACAAATACAGCCCACTTCACCATAAATCCTTAAACACTACAGGAAGCAATAAAAGGGAGGAGACTAACTAGAAAAGAGGTGCACTGAGAGAGATTGGAGGCAGTGCCAATGTGGGGCCATGTGGTTATTAAAAATGTTTGTAAATGTGTGTGAAGCTGGAGAACCATCTGGGTCTCTTGACGTCTCAACCTCAGCCCCTACCTTTATGTCTTCCTCCACCTGCTACATATGGTATTTGCTGTCCCGGATGGCACCTATCTGCTGTTTTCAGGGGCCTGGGATGATTTTAATCCCCTTGCAAATTTAGCAAAAACCCCACTGTGTATATCACAGCTCTGTTACAGGACACAACCTCTGAGACCCAGGAAAGGGGCTGGCCCACCTTCTGGTTTCTACCCAACCTCAATTCCCTGATGTGCTTTCTGACCTCATTTTTTTTTCCCCACCAGTTGCTTGCAACAGCAGCTGAAAAGTTTCTAGGACAAAACCACCTGGTCTGTGTACTGGAGGTGGCAGGTGTGTTCTTGCTGATAAGGGGCAAGTAGGACAGAAATGTGTGTGACTGGCATGATACTAGCAATGTAGGGAGAAAGTCCTCCCCTGCAGAACCCATGGCAACATTTGTGTTGGGGAATAGAGTGAGAAGCAGGAAAAAGCAAAAGATAGAAAAGTGAATGAAGAACTGATGATGCTGAGGAAGTAGACCAGGTTCTTGCCCTGTGTATGGTTTTCCTTTGAATGTGCTGTTTGGGGAAAGTGAAGTTAGTTAGGGAGTTTTCTTCTAGAACGGATCATAGCACCTTAAGGGTTCTGGAAGTGAGCTGTGAAGCCAGCACATGCTGGGAAGAATCACACATCTGAATCATGGCCACGGATCACGTGGAGACAAACAAAACAATGCAAAAATCAGGGCACCAAGCACCGTCTTTGGATGGCACTTGCTTAACAAGGGGCTGGAAGGGTGTGTGTAATTTAGAGTAGAAAGTATTGAGTCACTTCAATAACAACCACAGCTAACATTTACTGAGCACTTAATACGAGCCGTCTCTGTGCTCAGAGCTAAGTGACATGAATCATCTCACTTATTTCTCAGAACAACCCTCTGAGGTAGGTACTACCATTATCTCCAATTTACAGATGGGGAATTGGAGGACCTGAGGTTTAAGTGATTCACCCAAAGTGCACAACTGTTGAGGGGCAGAGTCAGGATTTGAATTTGGGTATTTCTGAAACCCAAGTCCATAGATTCTTAACTTCTCTGCTTTACCACCTATCCTAAAACAGAAATATTACTAAAGTGTAACAGAATGAGGAGGAAGAGAGACCAGCTACTCAGGATCCTACAATCCTTTTGAAGGCTTGCCAAGTTCCTTTGCTTTAACTGCATTAGGGAAGGAATAAGAAGAGCCAGTGGGATCTGCACCACCCAGGCCTCTTCCTGGAGGAGTCTGGTGATCTTGCCTGTTGGTTTGAAATAATTGCACACTGTAGAAACCTACAGCTGTTTCTCAAGTTTTCTTTTTACACAATCATCTAGGGAGGGTTTTAGACATGTCGGCACAATAGGCAATTTTTTTCTCTCTCTATTGGGCTGGCACCACGAGGTGTGACTATTGGTTCCACCCTAGAACACTGGTTGGCACAGGATGCATCAGGCCTCTTTGAGCCAACAAAAAGAGCTTGATGAGCTTGTTTTTTAGATGAGCCTAGGTGAGCAGAACAGACTTTGGGCTTCAAAAGCTCATGGACAGGAAGTTAAATGAACTCCTTCAGGGTGCCAGGTTATCGGCAAGCCCTTTGAAAGAGGTGTTTTACAAAATGGTGCCCTGTGACAACAGGTTATTTATACTTTCTGAGGGGAATACTTTATACTTAGTATTATCCTGGCCTGAACTCATCATAGAATCAAGTTCAATAATAATAATACCTATTACACTCTCCTGCAAGGGCTGTAACTCCTTCTACATTTTGTAGCATGCCTCATGCGTGGCAGGACACAATAAACAGTCAATAATAATGTTCCCTGTGATAATGATCTTCCAAATGCCTTTCATCTAAGGCTCTCAAAGTGTTTTGGAGATACTAATTAGTTAAGCCTCACAGTGGCTGTCTGTTTTCATAAAAGACATCTTCCCATTTTACAGAATTTTAAATTGAGACCCAGCAAACATAAGTGGCTTACCCAAAATCATACAGCATGTCTAAATGAATCTTAATGATGATGCTTTGCATTTACACAGCAGATGTTTTCTAAGGCAGTAAGAGTACGTTGCAAAGATAATTTTCACACTATCCTGGAAGAAGGTGGGTAGCAAGTAGCTTTTGACTACATTGGCTGAACTGTGGCAGAGAGGGCAAGGAACTCAGGAGGATTTGACCAAGGATGCAAGTCCCTTCCTCTGACTCTCTGAGCAGACGGTGGCATCCAGATAACCCTCAGTTCTCTGAACTGTGGGATGCATAGTTACTTTCACAGTTGCAAAAAGATAGGTAATATTTTTGGGAGCAGAGACATGTTGCAAAACAACAGCCATATTGACATCCAGAAATGGGTTTGTTCATAGCCCCATTGAGGAAGGCAAAAGGGATGAGAGGAGTCACTTCAAGAAAGGATAGTTAGGAAATAAAGGAATTGGGAGGTGGGGGTGCCAGCTCTGCTCTCTTGCAGAGCAACTTTCTAGCCCAGGTCCTGCCTGAACACAGGAGCCCTTGAGTTTCAGCCTCACTACAGCACTTGGTCCAGAGCACCTTGGAGGGTGGGCACAGACCATAGTCTGATGTTATAAGTCCCTGCAAAAGAATTCCAGAGAGACCCAGTATCTTAATGGCTGTCTCTTATGTACGACCAGCTCTCACCTCAATTCCCTATTCCAGAAGGGCCCTGGGAATCCTCTATAGTTCAAAAACTTGGGAGCTGTGGTTGCATTCATCGCTACCTTTCCTTTGCAACACAGCCACATTGAGAAAGATGAAAACCACAACAAAAATATTCCAAGCTGATAAGGGAACTGCCTGCTCCCAGTGTGACACCGTTTCCTGAGTGAGTGATGATACTCTGCTGAAAGGCAGGTCAGACTTCCGCAAGGTGGGGAAGGGAAGAGGTTGCTAGGTCTTCGGAATTCAAGGGGGATTTGCTGACCCAGAGATAGAGCTCCTTTCTCTACAAACGAGGCATGTTTGAGAACAATTTGCTTCCCTACCCCCACTCTGCCATTTCCAGACCTGTGGATTCTGATTGATGACTAGACCAGGGGTAGTGGAGGGACTTAAAAAGAAAAAGTCCTTTTCTGGAATGTGTTCACATGCAAGCACAATGGCAATAAAAAGTCTACAGTGAAAAAATGTCCCGCTTCTTCCCACCCTCATTTCGAATGTTTACACATGCCCTATGGGTGGTTTAAAGATGCAGTGAACCCAGGAAGCGGTAGCCCTTGGAAGGAAAATTTTGGAAAGTTGTTCCAAATGCATATCACAAGCCACTCCTCACTCCTGAGTAAGGAAGCAGTCCTGCAAGACCCTCCCACACACTGTTTCTCTTCCGAGCAGGGAGATGTAGGACCCTGCTGCCAGCATTTAGACTCTAACGCTTGCTCTAGGTAAGACTTCAAGGAATGCAGCTTTGATTTTCTAAGTATGCCAATGGCCCAAGCCACAGCTTTCCGTGTCCACTTTGTTACACTGACTCCAGAGGTGACAGTGCAAATAATTCTGCTGGACTCACAAGGACCATGTCCTTCTTTCCAGATGTGCCCTTACACATTATCCCACAACAAGACTCATAGCCAGGTCAGATGAAGTCCTCGGGGTGTGCTTTCAGTGCTGGACAGAGCGATTCCCATTATCCAAACATGAAAAGCATTAATCTCCTGCGAGGCTTAACTGGGTCTGTTTGGTTTTTTAATTGCAGCGCCTGCTGTGTATCTTCTGTGTATTTCATTCATTTTGCAAAATGAGACACATCTGCAGAGCTTCTATACACAGCTGATGTACTTCACAGCCCAGCCTTCGCTATCAATCAGTCCACCCACATAGATGCTTCCCTCCTGCACTATCTCGCTCGTCAAGTATCTTGATAGCTTCGAACAGATTATGAATGAGTATTGCCATAATAGCACTTTATGACTAGGGGTGGGAAGATGGATTTGGGTAAAATTCAAAAAAACTTGACATGTGGAAATTTCCGAGAGATCTCAAAAGCGACAAGCAGTTGGGTTTGTTTTCTCTTTTTTTTCCCCACCCTCCGTGCATTTCCCAGGCACTGGTTTGGCCTCAGAAGAGCAGAAATCAAACACCAAAAATATAATCTAAAAGGCTTTCCTTGTTCTACTACTTTCTGGACAAGAGGAAAGGAGAACCTAGGAAGCTTTAGTAGTTCTAAAGAGAATTCTTAGATAGATTAGGTAGGCTCAGGCTTCCATCGTATTTGAGTAAAATGATCACTGCTCACAGAAACGTATCACTGGGGAATCACCAGCAGCACTCTGGAATGTTAAACTTGTAGTTAAAAGAAGATAATCTCTAGCTCCTTGTATACACAAATCCAACCTCCATGTGGGCATATTATTAACAAATAAGATCTCTCTTACCCCATCCATGTGGATTCTGATATTAGGCACTAGCCGGAAAGGACTGGCCTGCAGACGTCTGGGGTTGGTCCTGTTTTTCCTGCCATCCTGCAAGGTCATCATGCCGGGCCTGCGGAAGGAGCCTCCTCTCCCGGAGCTCTGCCCTGAGCGCACTCCATCCAGAAGGCGCACGAGCAGCAGGTTGGCCGGCAGCGCCTCGATGCTGCAAAACACAGGCGTCCTGCATTCGGGGCACCGCAGCTCTTTGTGGGCCTTGAAAACCCTCTGTAGACATGGTTTGCAGAAGGTGTGCTGGCAAGGGAGGACTTTGGCTGTGACATCGAGCTTCTCAAAGCACACAGGGCACTCCAGAAGATCAAGTAATGTCAAATCATCCATTTTATTTCAAAACTCCAGTTCCCACCTGGAGGAGCAGAGTCCACATGGTAAGGTCAGTTGAGCAACGGGGGCAGAGCTGGCCTCTTGAGAACGTCAGAATTCTTGCCTGCTTGAAGGAGGGAGAGAAGAGAAAAAAAATGTGACTGCTCCGAGAGGTATATCCCACCTACATCGAGGCAGTGTCTCATAAGGCAGTTTGCAAGTACTTTGTTCCGGCACCCAAGTTTCAAATGACTCATTCTGATTCAATGCTAGCAGGTATAAGACTCAACTCGTGCTTGCTGTGAGGATCAGAGGAACACTGAGCACAAGACTGACTGTTCATTGCCTATGTGGCCAGGAGAGCAGAGAAGTAAACTGGCCTGCTGAAGTGGCTCCCCAAGCCCTCTCTACCAGCCAGGGCCGGGAGGAGTTCCTTCACCCCTGCCTGGGGAAAGCTCCTGGACAGTCTCAATTCTTACAACAAAGCCCCCTCCGAACACAAGTTCTGTGAAGTTATCTCCTCCTCCTCCTTCCCCTAAATCTAAGTGTATCTGTTATCTGCATCACATGCAGATTAGTTTAGGTCGGTACGTTTATGTGAATCTCATGCAGATGTAGAATTATTTCCTTTACAATATACCTTCCCACATGATGCTAGCAATGAAAAATTTCCATTAGAAACACATTTCCAAAAATTGTTTTGCCTTAACTACAAGTCAGGGTGCTTGGAAGCTCTGTTTCTTTTCTTTTTTCATCTTTGGTTCTTTTTTTTTTTTCCTCCTCATTCCGATTACCTTAGGCTCAGAGACAATATTCCTCCCACAGGGTAAAGTAGTGCAGCCTGTTTAGTTACTTTGACATTGTTCTCAGTTTCAAACGAAGCAGATAGGAATTCCGGATTGTGGTCACAACCTGTAAAAACCGTACTGGGGCAGCATATACAGGTAGGGGTCGTGTGTGTGTGTGTGTGTGTGTATGCGTGTGTGTGTGTGTGTGGTCTGAAAACAGTACTTATTCCAAAACCAAGTTTCCTTTTGGATGTATGAAAAGAAGCCTCCAGTTTAGAAAAGTGTGGGAAGAAGTCAGCTGTCCCTCACAAGTGCCAGGGCTTCAGTGAGCACTGAGCCCAGAGGTTTGGCAAGAAGGCCAGTGGCTCTACTAGCGACTAGTCAGCAGGACAGATACGACGCGAGAATGAGCGATGGCGCCTCGCCTTCCTAAGACTCTTCTCCAAAGACGTCAGTGCGGCGGCGGGCTGGGGAGACGTGTGGGGGCCACTAACCTTGTGCGTGTAACCTCTGCTGAGTTCAGCTCAGCCCCCTCCTCCGCGCAGCAGGGGTGCGCGGCTCCCTCCAACCGGCTTCCTTTCCCCCAAGCGCCGCTGCTGCCACCGCTTCGAAAACTTTAACCACTCAGTCTTACTCATTTCAAGGGATCGCCTTACCCAGCCCTGTTAACGCTTTCACCGCCAGGCTGCTGCCTACCAACCACGCTTTTGTTGTTGCGGTTGTTAACTTTATGATCTTTCCTTTAGTTAACTGAATTGTTTCTGGGAAAAGATTGTAAGAGGTAAAATATAAGCGAGTCCCTAAGGCCAAGTATTTACAAAGTTCATATTTTCACCTTTCCCGGTTTCTCTAGTATCCAAGGAGTCGGAACCTGCTCCATTATAAACATACCAAAGTGATTGTGTTTATTTTAAACCTTCATAAGGATTTCCTGGGAAGGTCAAAAGTAAAAATGGTCAAGCTATGAAAATAAGGATAAGCCGGACACCTAGAAAATGTTGCTCTCTGAAAATCATAGTCAATCTCTACATTTAGAGATAAGAGGGATTTTAGTGATCTTTTTGCTCAATCTGTTTAAATTAAGAAACTAGTGTCACATATATACACATACGTGAAAAATCAAAGCACAGAGAAGCTTTTTCAAAAAAAGAAAAACAGTGGCCTCCAAGCTCTCCTCCTGCCTGTTATCCATTGTAGTCTTTTCATATCCTCAGATTATGCCTATATTTCTATTTTTTTATTTATCAATAATACATTTCATGTAAAACTACAAAGGTATCCATTTAAGTGAATAATAATGATCTTAATGCCAGGGTAGTCCTTATCTGTGTCAACCACTGTTCTAAATACCTTACCTATATTAGCCTTTTAACCCTTTAACAACCCAAGGATACACTAAATTATTCTTTACTTTCATTTTGCAGATGAGGGAACTTGAGACACAGAGAGGGTAAATAACTCATCCCAGGAGTCACAGCTCCACCACGGAAGGCAAGTGATCTGTGCTCTTAACAATGTCATGGAGTGATATAACTTTAAGAGGCTGGCCGGGTGCGGTGGCTCACTCCTGTGATCCCAACACTTTGGGAGGCCGGACGTGGGCAGATCACGAGGTCAGGAGATCGAGACCATCCTGGCCAACATGGTGAAACCCCGTTTCTACTAAAAATACAAAAATTAGCTGGGCGTGGTGGCACGCGCCTGTAGTCCCAGCTACTCAGGAGGCTGAGGCAGGAGAATCACTTGAACCTGGGAGGCAGAGGCTGCAGTGAGCCGAGATCATGCCACTGCATTCCAGCCAGGGCAACAACAACAACAACAATAACAAAAAGAGGTGAAAAGGTGGTTCAAGGGAGCTAAGCCTCCTCTAAGAGGGCAAGAGGTCAAAAGATAATGGCCAATACTGGCTTCTCACTTTTTCTTACAGATGAGGCATCTGTGCCCAGAAAGATCAAGAGATTCTTTGAAGTTGTCCAGTGCGTTAGGGGCAGAATTGGGACTAGAAACTAGGTGTTTGAGGCCAGGTGCGGTGACTCACGCCTGTAATCCCAGCACTTTGGAAGGCTGAGGTGGGCGGATTGCTTGAGGTCAGGAGTTTGAGACCAGCCTGGCCAACATGGTGAAGCCCGATCTCTACTAAAAATACAGAAATTAGCTCAGCATGTTGGCTGCGAGTGCTTGGGAGGCTGAGGCACAAGAATCGCTTGAACCTGGGAGGTGGAGGCTTCAGTGAGCCAAGCTTGTGCCATCGCACTCTAGCCTGGGTGACTAAGACTCCGTCTCAAAAAAAAAAAAAAAAAAAGAGAAAGAAACTGGGTGCTCTTTTTAAAATTATTGTTATTACTGTATCTTCTCTATAGACATAAGGATGACAATTATTTATTATGCAGAGAGTGCTCAGACACAGCTCAATGGGACAATCTTAAGAGGAGACCAGGAGGTCTGAAAGCATTGTTTACATGTTTTTCCACGTACTTTCATGTTAGTTCCAAAAAATCAAACATGCATGTGACCCAGAAATTTAGGATGGAGCAGATGGTTATCTATTTTCTGAGCACTGAGGCCCTAATTTTGATGTAGGTCAATTTCAGAGACCACTTTCAGCTATTACTTTTTTAACGTCGCTGTTGGGCTTTGATAATATCACATCTCATTCTGCTTGCCTCTCTCCTTCTATTAATGCCTACTCTTCAGTCTGTGCCATAAAGAAGCTCCTTGCAGTTTACTGTCCTCTTACTCTGTTTCCCACTTAGTAAAGCTGAGTCAGTTTCCTTTGTGCCCTGCAGTTGTCTCACTCCTTAAAAAGGGCCACTCCTATGCTGGAACTCCTGTTGCAGAGATTGGCAATTTTTTTCATTATTCCTTCTCTTGTTCTTAAACACACTCTATCTCCCTTACATACTCATATCTGTACCTGTATGCACATGCATGCATACACTTGCGTAAGGGTGCACACACACATAATCTTAATAATAGTAACACCTGTGGAGCACTTGCTGTATGCCACTGACCAGTGCTAAGATTTTAAACATATTATCTCATTGAATTCTCCCCACCACCCCATAAGACACTGTAATATTTCCAGGGTTACAAACCTTGTGATCTGAACTCAGGTTGGTCTAATCCCGGGGCCTGTGTTTCTTTTCATTTTATAAAGTCATGTACATATCATAAGTACACCCATATATCTTTACTATATAAATCCGCATATTTACACATATGCCCGTGTTGTACATACCAGCTGATCTCCGAGCAAACCCAAGACAAAATATTGATGTCAGAGAAGGAAATTGGGCCCCTCTGGGTTGTAGTCTACCCATCTCATGGCCCCTCCACACCCCTATATGGTCAGTGGTCTTAAAAGCTTCGAAACCGGCCGGGCGTGGTGGCTCAAGCCTGTAATCCCAGCACTTTGGGAGGCCGAGACGGGCGGATCACGAGGTCAGGAGATCGAGACCATCCTGACTAACACGCGTCTCTACTAAAAAATACAAAAAACTAGCCAGGCGAGGTGGCAGGCGCCTGTAGTCCCAGCTACTCGGGAGGCTGAGGCAGGAGAATGGCATAAACCCAGGAGGCGGAGCTTGCAGTGAGCTGAGATCCGGCCACTGCACCCCAGCCTGGGCGACAGAGCGAGACTCTGTCTCAAAAAAAAAAAAAAAAAAAAAAGCTTCGAAACCTCCCATCCCTGAGAAAATGCAGTCAAACCAGCTCAGTCCCTGGAAGGTAGACTAGATCCAGTGGGTTACTCTTTTCTAGCAAATCTGGCGATTGAAAATCCAGTCAAATGAAATCGTGATGGTAGAATTTTATGTTCTAATGGAGGACAGAGAAAATGTACACTGAAGCGAGGGGTGGTCTTTCAGCATCTCTCAAACGACGCCCTGTAGGTGGTCCCCAACACCGCCCATATAAGGTTAGTCTTGAAGAGAAAATTTCTTTTGAAACTTTTAAAGAAGGGCGAGAGTTTTAAATGGGGATTTGTTCTGGCTTACCCAAATACTACCTTGGCATCAAATCAGATGAATATGTATTCTTTAAAAACAAACAAAAAGGTGAACTATGCATACCTCTTCAGACTCCAGGCCACCTCCCTTCCCCCGCTGTTCCCACCCCACCAACACTCCTGTTTCTATCTGTAGTTATAGGGTAATGATTGGCTGCATTCTTTTTAAAAATCTGTATGATATGTCTGATCTTCTGTTGTGCATATTTATGAGTATATTTAGATTTATGTATGTAAAACACACAAACAAGCAAATCTGGTCATATTGTTTCCCTAGTTAAAACTCTTCAGTAGGTTTCTACGACCTTAGGATAAAATCAAATCCTTCTTCTGACCTGTCAGGCCCTGCATGATCTGGCTTATGTCCACCTCTCCTGCTTCAGCTTATATCCCCATCACCCCCTCACTCAGCATACCCTTGATCCACTGGGTTTCTCTTCACTCTTAGGATAGTGTTTTTGTCATCAAGCATTTGTTCATGCTCTTCTTTCTGTCTTCAACACACCCTCTTCCTCTTCCTCTCTTCCTAGCTACTCTCTTCCTCCCTGTTTTGTTTTTTTAATCCCATTCTCTGCAAATTTGAGCTTTAAAAAATGTCAATTCCTCCAAGAAGCCTTCTTTGATTCTCACGAGTAGAAAGTTTGTCATCCTACACTTCTCCTTTATAACAGCTATCACAGCTGTAACTCAGTAATTATTTCATAATGATTTATTTAATGCCCAACTCCCCCAAACAGACTGTAAACTCCAAGAGAGGAAGGACCTTATGTGCCTTGTTGCTCTTCTGTTCCCCTGTATTTAACACAGTGGCTGGCATGTGGTTGATACTCACTAAATGTTGAATGGGTTTATTGATAACTAAATGAATGAGTGATGTTCTTAAAAATTTGTGTTTGGGCAGGTGTATACCAAATGGTTGGTAATGGTTTTATATTAGACACCTCTTGAGTGTCACTTTCAATGTTCTCAACCACACCTCTTATTTAAGCTAAGAAGTTTTCCCAGATTCAGGCCACATACAGAGATGCTACCTGGCAGTGTCTATCCTCAAGATCCAGTCACGAACTTCTTGCCTCCTGCCCTGGAGCTTCTCTGATGTTGCAGCATGGGACACACATGAGAATTTGCTTCACACACACGTGTGCATGATCCAGAAGTGTGGACCGTCTTTGATTAATGGAAAATCTGTGGATACATTTTCTGATTTTATCCTCTGGGCAGGTGGTCCTGAGATGTCATAAAGTTCTTCTGAAGGTCTCATGAGATGAGTACCATTCATCCACAGGGGGCTGACACAATAATGCATCTTTGTGCTGGCTTTCTCTCATTCCCTTTCACTCCCGCATCCCTAACTCCTGCTCCCAAATAAATCACTTTCAAGGAAGCAAGCCTTTGTCTCAGGCTAAGACAGTTTCTTTCCAATTAAAAGTTAAATCACAAACAAGTGTGCAGATAAGTTTTGCCAATCAAATTTACTTACGTATTGGAATTATGATTTTAGAGGTATGCTATTTTCACTTGACTGGCTCTTAGCCACTTGGTGGTCTCAGGCTCTGCCATAAAGTTACTCATTTGTAAAGCATTCCTTAAATCCATCAAAGAAGTTGAGGTATTTGGAA